AAGCTTTTGAGAGACAGTCAAATCCCAGTATTCGGTCAGACAAGAGTATCTCAAGATTTGGCGATGAATGCTGTTGTTTAACTATTTTTCCTTTGGTATATCATTTCACAGGGCCAAGTATACATATATTTTGTGTCACTTTGCACGAAGTTTTCAAACAAACAGAATATTAGTAATACTGTACATTTTCTTCGTAGACCTCCATCATTTATCGTTGAAGTGTATAAAAGCGTTAGAGGTCGTTGATAGTGAAATCACAGCTTCCAAAATATTCTTTCTTTAATATTTATAAGTTTGTTGATTTTGTGGTCTCACTCTAGCGATGATTAAAGTTGATGTCATTGTTTCTGTTTACAGATAAGCACTATCGAAACACCTGAACTGCTGGCTTTTAACCATTAACATTTAAGCATTCTCAGGAATACATTTGTTATATAATCATTACAAATATGAATAAAAACTCTTAGCATCGTATCTTGCATTAAAGATATGTTCCATAAAAACAGCAAAAATATACAAGCCATTATTACATTATTTTCATGAATTTTCGCCGATTACCGTTCATTTAAATGCGAGCTTAAAGATTCAGCAGAAACCAATCAAATGGACTAAACACAGTTGAGCTTGAGTCTTTGACTGAGAGACAAATGCTTGTATGCACCACAAAGTGTTTTTACAAGTACGAATGCGATGATATAAGATGCAATTCCCGGTAGCTTAGAGATGTTTGTTTGTTTTTAATTATGCACAAAGCTACACAAGGGCTATCTGTGCTCTGCCCACCACGGGTATCGAAACCCGGTTTCTAGCGTTGTAAGTCCGCAGACATACCGCTGTGCCACTGGGGGGGGGCAGCTAAGAGATAAGCTTGAGAGCTGATAACATTAAAATTCGAGGTTCGTTTCCCGCGAGTGGGCACAGCGCGGGTAACCTATTGTACATCTTTGTGATTAAACAAAAGAAACATATCTAAGATAATGTCAGTGTTTTTGCTTTTCTTTCAAAAGATAATCAACCTGTCGGTTAAATCCTAAAAACCTACTGAGTATCAAACAAGATCTTCAGATCGAATTGAAAAAAAAAGCTAGGCACAAATGACAGAGCAACATGTGTATACTTGAAGCAGATGTATCGGTTGAGCGAAAACACATTTCTCATCGTGATAAAGGAGATACGATGAAAGAAATGAAAACCCCTCCTCATGATTCTACCATTTGGCTTGATTCACGTCGTCGCTAACACCAAATCTCCCTTCTCTTCTGTATACGAAGTTGTCCAACAAATATTGGCTTTATCCTTTCTTTAATCCTCTGTATCAACTAGAGAGCACAGTCTAAAACCGTCCCTACGTAAATCTTCGAGGACAAGAATGCCAGACAGAGCAGGGCTTCTAAAGTTTTTAGGCGTGTCTGTTGAATAAAAAAACTAGCTTCCGTAAGATTCTCAGCCCGAAGGAGATCCGTAGAGAAAGGAAGGATTCGCCTAACTTAACATTTAGGCTAAAGCACATAGCGATATGATTTATTAAAATGGGTTTATGGAGAATTTTCTTAGTGAACATGATTTATAATAACTGCAACGTATATGCTTCAAATTGCCCTATCCTTTGTTGTGAGCATCTCTCGATTGTTAAAATACATTATAGTTGACAGCAAAAATGGGTCCTTTTTTACTACAAAGTTTTGCAAGAATAGATAAAGCTAAATTATATTCGATATTACCTGGTTACTAGAGTTAACCCTTTTAATAGTCTAAACAAAAGCATCATACCCCATTTTTTATTCCACCTCTTTTATGATGCTTCGAAAGCTCACCTCATTATTTTTTAAAGGAGTATGCGAATAAGTTAATGATACACTTAAATCCTATATGGTGAGAGCAGGTAAGCTATACTATAGTTGAATGTTTCCACCGCATCATAGGCTAATCGCCTAAACGCGTGTTCAATAGGTTTAACTAATTGATGAACGCATTGAAATATAAAAAAAAAGATCAGACAGTAAGAATTTGTTTGTTTTGAATTTCGCGTAAAGTTACACGAGGTCTCTAATTTAGCAGTGTAAAACTAGAGGGAAGGCAGCTAGTCATCACTCTTGGGCTACTCTTTTACCAACGAATAGTGGGATTGACCGTGACATTATAACGCCCTCACGGTTGAAAGGGCGAGCATGTTCGGTGGGACGGGATTCGAACCCGCGACCCACAGATTGCGAGTCGAGCGCCTGAGATAATATGGCTGAAGTAAGGCAACACAATTTAAA